TTTGGGCTGGGTTTGTGGCTCTGAGGGAGAATGCTCACCTAGCATGCATGAGGCACTGGGTTTGATCCTCAGCACCACATTAAAAAAAAATTATGTCCACCTATAACTAAAAGATAAATGTTTAAAATTAATAAATAAACCCTTTTCACTTAATTGCATTCATTCATCATATATTTACTACATGCCAGAAAATGTACTAGGTGAAAGAAACACAGGTGAAAAAGAAATAGAGGTGAAAAACACTAATAATGTAGGAAACAATATAGAAAAACAAAGTGGCTTTTCTTTTTTTATGGTACTGGGGTTTGAACCCAGGATCTTGCCACATTAGGCAAGTACTCTACCACTGGGTCATATCTCCTGCCCTTTTTATTTGATATAGGGTTTCGCTAAGTTGCTGAGTATGGTGAGGAGTTAGTGGTCCTCCTATCATGTGGCTGGGATTAAAGTATGCACCATTAAAACCAGCAACAAGGTGGTTTTTCTAATATCAGACACCCAGAGTACTGAAAAATAAAAAAATTGTCATTTTTAAGAATGGAGCTGGGGGGAGAAAAAGGAAAAAGATAAATTGAATCAAAGTTAAATATGATCTGAAACTACCACTCAAGGCTTTCCCAGAAGCAAAGCAACATACCCAGGTCCATCCCATTATTGCCTCACGGATACCATGTACATTTCATATCTAAAAAAGAATTTCAAGCTTCCTTTTAAAATGATGAGAGGAACAGAGTTACTTTTACTCTTTACATTTTATTTAATAGGGCCTTTTACAATTAAAACTAGGTACAAGTTTGTAGTATTGAGAAATATTTACATATATCAGCCACAGCAGCACACACTAATCCTAGCTACTCCACAGACTGAGAGGAGTACTGCCAAATTCAAGGCTGACCTTGGTAACTTAGTGAGACCCTATCTCAAAATAAAATATAAAGGGTGGGGATGTAACTTAGTGCATGAGGTACTAGGTTCAATCCAGCACACTATAAAATAAAATCTTGAGATAGGGTCTCACTTAATTGTCCAGGCTGGCCTCAAACTTCACAATCCTCCTGCCTCAGCTTCCTAAGTCACTGGGATTATACCTGTGGGCTCTCATGCCCCAATTCCAGGTATATGATCTTAAACAAAAACTTTATCTTTTGCACAATTACAAAGAAAGTATTGAATATATTTATGTTAACAATCTGTTTCTTTCTCTGCCTTATACCTTTTAGTTTGTTCCTCTAAAATGCAAGTAGTTCTCCAGTCAGGAGGAGAGCCTGAAGCAGCTTAGGGTAACTTAACCCTATGTTTATATATTCCCCACAACCCGTCACAAATGAGACATCCACAATCCTTCAGTAAAAAATACAATATTACAGTGCTGGGAGGCCCTCAATGCAGACTAGGCAAATTCTCTACTACGGTCCTACATCCCTGGCTCCATGTTTTTATTGGTTGTTGGTTGGTTGGTAGATTTTGTTTTTTATTTCTATTATGAGCACCAGTCAAGTTTGAGGATGGTAGTACCAATTATACCACAGGAATTAAGAATATTCTATGGACTACAATCAGAAGTTACACAGCAACTTTTAATCCTACAATAAAGTCTTAAGAAAAGCACATTTGCAGCAATGTGACAATCCATTGTACCTGTTTCCCAAACTTGCCTCATAATAATCATATTGAATGCTTGTTAAAAACAGAAATTCCTTTGGGCTGGGGATGTGGCTCAAGCGGTAGCGCGCTTGCCTGGCATGCATGCGGCCCGGGTTCAATCCTCAGCACCACATACCAACAAAGATGTTGTGTCCGCCAAATACTAAGAAATAAATATTAAAAACTCACTCTCTCTCTCTCTCTCTCTCTCTCTCTCCCCTGTCTCACACTCTCTCTCTCCTCTCTCACTCTCTCTAAAAAAAAAAAAAAAAATAGAAATTCCTAGAATCCATCTCATACATACTAATTTAGAGCATCATACCTAAATTATTTTCTTTAATTTCAGAGAATTACAACATATTTTACAATTTAACATTTTAATTAGTTGCTAAATTATTTCAGAACCTTTTTTAGATCATTTCCTGCCACCAAAATAAAATTATAATGCAATAAAATTGTTAAATACTTGAGAGTTGAACACATCTATAATCCCAGTTTATAAAAAGAAAAAAAAACTCAGTCAAATCAAAACTATCTAATTTTAAACAGTAACAAAGTTTCTTGGCTGCCAAAATTTAGTGCCAAGACTCACTAGTGGTTTGGAGAATTTTTAATCTTAAGACTTATTAGTGGTTTGGTGGTGCTGGCGAATCCAACCTCAGGGCCTTTGAGTCACTCACCCAGCCCCAGTAGGGAATTTTTAAAAAAAGTTCCACAGATTAACATGAGGTCCAGCAGCAGTAATTTCATGCTCTGCCACTTAATATATCCCCAGTGCCCAATAAGAGTAAATTTTTAATCCGTGCTTTATAAGCAAGTATTGAATTTTAGGTCTTTCTTCAAAAGTAAAATTAATCATAATAAAAATAGTGAAATTACAGGTAGATGAGATAGTACATAGCTGTAATCCCAGCTACTCGGGAGGCTGAGTGAGGCAGGAGGACTATAAATCCAAAGCCAGCCTGTCTCAAAAATAAGACTTAAAAAGGACTGGGGTATAGCTTAGTGGTAGAGCGCTTGCCTAGTATGTGAAGGCCTGAGGTTCAATCCCCAAGTACCTACCTCCTTTYCCCCAAGAAACAATGATTGGTAACAGGAATGGTGTTTCTTTTTGGTGTATGAAACTGTGGTTATAGTTGTACAATTCTGTGGATAATACTGAAAACCACCGAACACTTACATATTGTATGGCATGTTAATTATAACTCAAAAATCGGCTACTCTTGGGTTGGATGTGTTGCTCAGTAGTAAGGTGCATGAAAGCACAGGGCCCTGGATTAGATTGTTAGCACAGGAAAACAAAACAACAACAAAAGGGGCTGAAGATGTACATCAGAGGAGGCTTGGCATGCACAGGCTGTGGGTTTGATCCCCAGCCCAGCAAAAGCAAAAACAGTTACTTTGAAAATAGTTTCTTTCCCCAACTCTGTAATATGTATTAAATAAGAACTCTTAGTGATCATCTATTTGGAATATAAATAAAAACTCTGAGAGCTGGGGTTGTGGCTCAGTGATACAGCACTAGCCTAACATGTGTGAGGCACTGGGTTCAATCCTCACCACCACATAATAAATAATAATAAACAAAGTTATAAAAAAAGGTTTTAAAAAACTCTATCTGAAAAAAAGCAGGGTAGAAATACTAAATGTTTAAAATTTTTATGGCTGAAATAGTTTGTAAGAAAAACATATTTTAAAAATAATTATTCTTGCTGGGCACAGTGGCACATGCATGTAATCCCAGGAGTTACGGAGGCTGAGACAGGATTGAATGTTCAAGAACAGCCTCAGCAATTTAGGGAGATCCTAAGCAACTTAATGAAGCTTTGTCTCAAAATCAAACACAAAAAGGACTGGGGATGTAGCTCAGTGGTAAAGAGCCCCTGGGTTAAATCTCCAGTAACCACCCAGCCCCCCCAAAAATTCTTATTGTAAATCACTAGTCCTAAAAGGTTAGTATAATTTTTGTTTTTGCAATACTAAGGATTAAACTCAGGGCAAGTATGCTAGGCAAGCACTCTACCACTAAGCTACACCCCCAGCCCTTTTTATTGTATTTTGAGACAGGATCTCAATATTAAATGATGTGTAAGTAAGCATATCTTTTTCAACTTTACACATCCTTCAGCTGAATTCAACTACTGGGGCACACTCCTTCACATAAGAATACGAGCCACTGGAAAAGGAACAGCTTCTGATCACTCAGAGTAAAAGGATTTTCAAAATCCTTAATTGTCTATTACCAAATGAATTAAAAGCCACATTTCATGGCTTAAATACTTTCAGTTCACAAGTACAAACGTGCAGGGCACTGTTATACAACTGTGTATATGAGGTATACACGAACACTTATTTTTTAAGGGGTTAAAAGGAAAAGAAAAACAGATATCTAAAGGGTGTGGCAACTCATCCAAGGTCACACAACAAGTCAGAACAAAGAGCAACATTCTGGTTATACCAACCTCCAGGGGAAATCTTACCATTTCGCAAAAAGATTGTTGTTTGGTTTTACATCAGAAACCAAAAAAGGGGAGAGGGGACTGTGAACTTAGTTCAAAATTTTACGCAGAGTCTGTGAGATTGCTATTTTGGATAAACACACTTGTGTCAGGAGTGGTTAAGAGCTAAAGAAAACTATCAGTCAACAGTATGTGCATATCTATCGGGCCAGATTGCTTCAAAAAGTCTAGGCGTTCTCCCTCATAGTCGGTTATGAAGGCAAGAAACTTGAGATCTCCTTGGAATGCTGACAGGATACAAATCAACGGAAATAAAATGTGAACTGTATTGCTTAAAAGGGTAAGAAGGCAGGTTTTTCGGGGAGGGGGAAGGAAATGGGTGTCAAACAAGAAAGGACTACATCTGGCAAAACTAACTTATAGCTAGCTGTTCTAAGTGAATCACATGCAAACCTTTTCTTCGACCAAACGGAAGTCCACGTTCTCCAGTGTAGCTCTGAAAATGGACCCCAAATTTTCCGTGAAGCTACTTGTGGGGAAGAACAGCAAAGTAGGGCAAAGGTCTGAGTTCCTACGCCTTAGATAGCCCACACTGGGGGAAGAAGTTCCCTTCAAGGGTCCGCAATAGGACCACGTTTGTCTATCGCGTCTGGTCCGGTTATAATGAAATGGACCCCCTCAAACTTCGAAAATCCGGAGTAGAGGAGCGCCGATAAATGCTTACACTGACACACACACGCCACACACACATACACACACACACACTCGGTCTCTCACTCACGCGCAGTGGGAACCAGTGGGGAGTAGGTGGCTCCGTAGTCTCTGAACACCTTCCTCCCCAGGTGAAATCCGCCTCCTCACCCAGTTCTGTCTGCCCAGACCCCCCACTCCCCTCACCTGGCCCTGGCCCCTGCCCCAGAAGAGATGAAAAGCGGCGGCGGCGGTTGCTTCCAACAGGGTCCCCAAGCGGCGGTGACTGCTTCAACCCACTGCCCTAATCTACCGCCGCCGCCATGTTGAAAGGTGAGGTCACCCCCGGCGTGCTTCCGTCACCGCCGGCGTGGGGGCGGGCCCGGGCCGCCCAAGAGCGCCGGAAGAGGGCGGCTCTGTCACCAGAACGGAAGCACAGACCACCGAGGCTTGGAGGTCTCTTTGCGCAGACGTAATTGAAAAGCTGATCCTTCCTAGCCCGCTGTTCGCAGGCGTCGCTCAAATCTATGATTCCTGGAGTTGCGGAAGTTCTTATCAAGTCGTTTCCGGTCTTGCAATTCCTCGCAAAGAACCAATTCTCCGTCTGCCGGATAAGTTTTGTTCTGCAGACTTGTTTTGCGTTTCAAACAGATGCCAAGAGAGTCTTAAGAGCTGCGGTGTTCTCAGCCAGTTGTCGGCAAATGTGTTCCTGTGTTGTAAACGATTCCCACGGAACGGAGCTGGGATGGCGTAGAGGGGGTCGTTGTAGGCGGAGGGAATGGCCTGAGGGTAGATAAAGGAAATTTATAGTAGTAATACATTTTTGCTCACAGCACTTAGTGCATGGAATATAATTTGTGTTAACGTGTTTTTGTTTATTTGAGTCCAATATTGCTTTAGAGAAGTCACTAAAGGCATCTAGGCGACAGTGTATAATACCATACTTTAGGGAGAAACAGTTGACCTTGGTGTCCTTGAAATAAATTGTTACGGGACATCATTGAAGATTAGGATTTAGGAAGTCCAAGAAAGTGTTAGAAGGCTGTGGCAACCAGTCTGATTAGAAGTGATTAAATCCTGTTGAGGAGTGAGTGGGTTTCATTTGGGGTGAGGAAAATATGGTAAAGCACTTGAAATTATATGGGGGAAATGGAATTAAAAAGGTTAAGATTGAGGGGCTGGGGATGTGGCTGAAGCGGTAGCGAGCTAGCCTGGCATGCTAGCGGCCCGGGTTCGATTCTCAGCACCACATACCAACAAAGATGTTGTGTCC